GCTTCTGCTTATCTCAGCTTAATTATTTCCTTATTTTGAGCCTTAGTGAGCCGGACGGCTGCTGTTTGTTAGCTTTTTTCCTGGCCTCCGTGTACGGGGATCTAACTCCATCTTTGCTCCGGTTGCAGATGATCTTTGGCGAGTGCCTTTTGGTCTACCTGCAGCGCCTCAAATCCAAGTCCCCCTTCGGCAGCTACGTGGCCTGCCTCTACAAAGCCGTGGGCACCTTCCTGTTCGGCGCCGCCATGAGCCAGTCCCTGACCGACATCGCCAAGTACTCCATCGGCCGGCTGCGGCCACACTTCCTGGACGTGTGCCGGCCCGACTGGAAGTCCATCAGCTGCTCGTCGGGGGGCTACATCGAAAACTACACCTGCACGGGAGACCCCACCATGGTCAACGAGGGCAGGTGGGCCCTATGGGAGGCACAGGGGTCAAAGGTCATGTGTGTGTGTGGGATTCTGAATGGTGGCCGGCTCGCTTTTCCTTTGCCCCGAGCTCCGATCTCTCCTCTGACAGAGCCCGAATCCACTTTTTATATAATATATTTTTAGTAATATCACAAGAGGGGAGCGCTTGTTTTCGTTTAGCTCTGTTATCAGCTGGTAGCAGAGGGAAGGCTGATGGGAGGAGAGGATTTCCTCTTCTCCTGCTCACGCCGGCGCGGCCACAGAGGAGCAATTAAGAGTTTACAGTCCGGTGCCGGAGCTTTTTCCGCCGGGTCCCGCTTCCCGTTCGATTGGGTTGGCCGTAAACCTTAAACCGGCCCGGGCGTGGCCCCGGATAGCTGAGGCTTCCTGGGGCCTGTACCGTTCCCGTTCCCGTAATGCGGTAAACGTTCTGTCAGCCGGCCAAAAGGAGGATGGGGCGATTCCAGGCAGATAGCAGACATAGCCAGAGCTTTTATATATGTGTGTGTGTGTGTGTGTCCTTGTTGCTGCATCAGAGTGAGTACCATAAGTAGTTTTTAACCCAACAAAGTGAGGTCTTTTTTGGAAAGTGATGACATTTTCCTGGTGCTCACTTTATTGTGTGTGTATGTGTGTGTGTGTGTGTGTGTGTGTGCGTGTGTGTGTGT